AGACATATTTCTTTTCTTAATAAAGAGCAGGTCTTTTTCAAGTCACAGTGTTTAGTTTATGCCTGATGAACAGTGAACACGGTGTGCGACTCAATAACCTGTGGACCGGTCTCCGACTATAGCAATACTAAAGTCAGGACATGGGCATTAAGAATAAGCCCAAGATGAAGAGAAAAATAAGGTATTTTTTCCCAATCCTTGGTCATCTTTTTGTTTCCTGGTGGGAGCTGAGGACAAGTGTTTCTTTCCTTGCTACTTCCTAAGTTGCAACCAGCTCATCTCTCCAAGGTGAGAACAGGCCAGGTCAATCGCAGTGGGACCTTTGAGTCCTCTGCCTGGACTAGTATATATAGAGAGCACAGCGTAGCACCCTTTTGATTCTAAAGCTAGGAGATACATGTGCTCTGCTCCTCATACCACCATCATCCAGGACTTATATTAGACGCTCTTGGCTCTTCATACACACTGCAGCGCACCATAGTGGAGTTTCCACCGAGCAACTGCACCTAATCCTTGGGTGGGTTTAGTTTCTTGATCCCTTTTTGTCCTTTTTGCTGAATCTACCCGATTACCTTGCCTTCCTCTGGGCAACTGCGCCTAATCCTTGGGTGAGTTTAGTTTCTTGGTTTCCTTTTCTCCCTTTTGCTGAAAATACCCAATTGCCCTGGCTAGATATGTTTTAAGAATTTTAATTGTCCTATCATCTGGTTCTGTTCCAAATTAATTTCGCTGTTCAAACACAGAGTTCTTCATATGTCTACCAACTAATATAACTAGCTTATTCAATTTTGACATTATTTATTCTGTTGAGTAATGCTAGTGTACCTCTTTCTTTTCCTGCTGCACATCAGAGGAAGATGCACACCAGAATTATCTGTTTGAGTTGTGAGCAGAGCTCTACCTGTCATACCATTTTCTTCTCTTAAGATGACGTCTTACCAGCTTAGCTTCTTTGGAGTTGAACCAGAAATATGTAACTAGTTTCATTTTTTGTAGGGCATTTAAGAGTGAGTTTTTTTTTCTGCGGCTGAAAGTAAAAGGAAACAATTCCAGTGAGATACTTACATAATTTATTTGGCTGTTCTTCTTTCCCTCAGGTTCTTATCAAACTCCTCTTTGCATGAGCTTCTGAACACATATCTGAAGCTTCTAAGAAGGAAATTCCATACTCCAGCAATGACTTGCTTTCGTTTGCTCCGGTGGAAGAAAAAATCCAGAAGCCAAATTGTACAGCAGGACATAGGTAAACCTGCATCTCTCATTTAACTATTGTTATTCTGAAGCATCCTAATATCCTCCTGATTCATCCTATTCTGTACAGACGTACCACTCCATGGCAACGTGAAGATATACTCCTCCAAGGAGCTCAAAAGGGCCACAAGGAATTTCTGCTCAGGAAACAAACTCGGACAGGGTTCTTTCGGCTGCGTTTACCTGGTAGGTTTAGTTGCCAGTTTGACAGTTTGCACCATAAAAGCTTTGACATTTCCAAGTTCAAACACCACAATCTCTTTATCCTGTCAATCAATCACTCCAAAAAATCCTGAATTATTAGAAAGCGGCAGGTTATACTCTTCCTGCCATAGTGATTACCATCACTGTAGCACTTGGACCAGCTATCAAAATTCAAACAGTAGTGTTTCATGAGTGCTCAAGCTCTGGTCTGAGTTATGCAGGGAAAGCTGAAGAATGGTCAAAAGGTTGCCATCAAGGTGCTCTCCTCCGAGTCAAAGCAAGGAACAAGGGAGTTCTTGAATGAACTGAGTGTCATATCCAGCATAACCCATCACAACCTTGTAAAACTGCACGGCTGCTGCGTCGATGGAGGTCAGAAAATGCTGGTGTACAATTATCTGGAGAACAACAGCCTCGCACGAACCCTCTTTGGTATGTTCAACCAAATTTCGATTTTCATCAGAACTTTGAATCGCTGGTAAATTCATTGCTCTGAACCCCCTGGTTTGTCATGATGTTCTTCAGGCAATACCCACAGTAGTATCCGCTTTGACTGGAGCACAAGGGCGAAGATCTGCATTGGTGTCGCCGACGGTCTCACATATCTGCATGAAGAAATCCGGCCACATATCGTCCACCGTGACATCAAGGCGAGTAATATTCTGCTTGACAAGGACCTGAGCCCCAAAATATCGGATTTCGGGCTAGCAAAGCTCTTCCCGGGCAACATGACGCATATCAGCACGAGGGTTGCAGGAACATTGTAAGCAAAGTGACACCTGTTGCTGCTCTCACTTAACCTTGCACATATTGATATATACTGTACTGTGTGGTTAAGACAAGTTGACATATGCTCATTTCTCAGAGGGTATCTGGCACCGGAGTATGCAATCCGAGGGCAGCTGACAAAGAAGGCTGATGTGTACAGCTTTGGGGTTCTGCTGCTGGAGATTGTCAGTGGCAGGTGGCACACTGACCCCAGATTGCCTCTCCAAGATCAGTTCCTCCTAGAAACGGTAAAGAACGATTTCAGTAACAATATCTACTTAATTGTGATTCTCTAGAAAGTTCAGAAAAAATATCAGGAGAAACAGTACAATAGTACGGAATACAGCTATGATAGATTCAAGATGTTCCACATCAGACCATGATAATCATGCCAGACATATACCTACTATGTGCCACAGTTGGAAGTAGTCTTTAATTTTTGAAGAGGAAATACAGTTGGAAGTATTCTGAAGGAAAGTACCAGGAAGTTTCCTCTCTGTCCTGAAAATTACTATTTCTGGTAGTGCTGCCAGCTTTCATTGTCTTATCTTGAGATTATTTTTTATTGGCCCACTGGTTCTGGATTTGTTCCTGAAAATGTTTTCTATGCCACTTGCATTGACTGGTGTTCTCATTCTTAGGACATACAGTATCTGTTAGTTTTTGTCCAATTATTATGTGCACCTGCTATTGCATTATAAATCAGCAATTTATGAGAGATCTTTAATCTCTCACCCTGCAAAGAGAAGTGAAAAGGTTCTATTTCAAAAATAGCTGAAGCATTGTTTCTTGACATTGTCAATAGTAGATTAAAGAATATAAATCAGAAATATCCACTTGTTTTTCCCAGGCTTGGACACTCTACGAGTCTGGTGATCTTGGGAGCATCATCGACAGGACCTTAAAAGATGGTTTCAGCACCGACGAAGCTCATAAGTTTTTGAAAATAGGACTTCTGTGCACCCAGGATAGCCCCAAGGTCAGGCCCTCCATGTCGACAGTCGCAAAGATGCTAAAGGGTGAGTGCGCCGTCAGCGACAAGATCATGAGGCCAGGCCTGATCACAGATGTCATGGACCTGAAAGTCAGAACAATCGAGCCTGCTCTTCAGTTAAGTGTGTCTCCACCAATGTCTCCACTGGATAACCACTCACTGGTGTCTAACCTTGCATTCGCTGGTAGCACTGTGATAAGGGACAGCCCCTAATGAGAGGTTAAAAAGGCACATGAAGGAGAATATGCTCAAGCAACAATGGCTGTAAATTGGAGGGATGACGAAAAGCATATCAAGAGAGGCATTTGATTTCGTTTGTGTTTCTATATTGCCAGTTAGATATACTGTTAGTTGTTTGTATATGTTGCATCTGAGCTTTTGGTGATCAACAACTGAAGATCCTCAGTGTCCTGTGGGGCATGGCTTATAGGTGAAGGAAGAAGGGCACAGCTGCACCAGGCACCCAAGCAGGGAGCCCTGAACTTTCAGAGGTTTGCTAGTTAGTACCTTTCCTAAGCTAAGCAAGCCAGGGTTACCTTTTTTGTGTGCACAGAAATAGTAGCTACTGTACAATGTTTAGTCAAGTATACAGTACAAATCTCACACGGATAATGACATGACTTGCATCTGCATGAAAGACCTGTGAAAAATCCACTCTGAAATGCCAATAATTCAAAATGACAAGGTCAAATCTTTTGATCAAATACATCAGCAGATTATTGAGGATGATTGTAGCAATAAAATGTAAACTGAAACAAGTGAAGATATCTAGGTACAGAAGTAATTTAAAAATATCTCTTACCAAATGAGGTCTTGAATCTAAGAGGAACCACGGAACTGCAGTTCCAAAAAAATAATATCCTTAAGAGGAAGCTCAACACTGAAAGCAGGGATTGACAAAAGAACCTTCAAAACACTGAAAAGCACTATCAAATGAGTCATGGTAAAACTTCACAACATTCCATGTGAAATCACCCTGTACAGGAATGGTTTCCGCAGCTTGAAGAGCAGAAGTTAAACCAAACAAACAGTCCGGGTAAGCCCGAGTTAAACAAAAGTACTTGCTGTAAGAGCAGCCCGGTGCATGTAGCTCCCGCTTGCGCAGGGTCGGGGAAGGGTCCGACCACTTTGGGTCTATAGTACGCAGCCTTTCCCTACGTTTCTGTAAGAGGCTGTTTCCAGGACTTGAACCCGTGACCTCATGGTCACAAGGCAGCAGCTTTACCACTGCGCCAAGGCTCCCCTTCAAACAAAAGTACTTGCTGTCATTTAAAAAAAAATGCACCACAGTAATAACCCAACCATGTCATATTAACAGTTGAACATGGTATCACAGAAAAAACTTTCATCCATCTAAAGTAGACATTTCATTTTTTACAGAGGGAGTAGTACATATCAGAGATTCCTGAATCTTTAACACATAATGACAAAAGTTAGATGCACACTAATAGTCCTAGTGGGGGACATTCGATTATGTCAGGAAACACAGCAAGAAATGAACTTACCAAAACAACAGTAAACCTCATGAAATAAATAAATAAACAAATACGGAGTATATATCAATGTACAACTAGAAATAGAACTGCATAGATTATTCATTCTTTGGGCAGCAACAACTGAGTTCCATGTATATACATGTAGAAAACCACGTTCAGACACATCATCAGAAACTTTGTTCTTTAGCAACTAATTCTACAGCACTGCTCTCAAAAGCCACATTCTGAAGACTTCTACATGGCGGGACAAATAGAAATGAAATGAAATTTCAAGCTTAGATGATTTGCTAGTGTGATCTTGCCATCCGGTTCATTTCCAGCAGTTGTGTAAGAGACACAGAACTCCATCTATCGGTTCCCTCTTGAAGTTGCGCATAGAGTAGTCGCTTGACAGAGTCTATGAAGATACTCACGGTGCCAAATTCATACACTGGCTTGCCATTATAGGATTTATTAACTCTAGGCATAAACAGCAAACCTTGGTCAGCCGCATATGCCTGAATAGACTCCTTGAAGCTCATATCTCCCATGGTTGCACCTGGCACTGAATGATAAGCTGGGTATTGCGATGCTTGCTGTGCTGCATCAAATTGCCACTTCTCTGTTGCTCTCAAGTAGCCCACATTCTCACTTGCCCCTGGCTGCACCAAGTCAACCCCTTCAGCAGCTTGGTTCATCATCTCAAGACCAGCCGTTAGAAGCATCCGTATGCGTTTATTGGCGAGTAACTCTGGTGGGAAAAGACCCCTCCAGCTCTTGTACCAGTTTGTGATCTCATTGAAATCGGGAATCTCTGAACACAACCAATGGTACAGAACCTGCTGCCACTTGCTAAAGAAATCAACTTCCAACATATGGACCATATGGGATACCGGTACAGCAGAAGCCCAAATCATAACCGAGTTAAACTGGTCGAACTTCTGGTTTGCTGGGTTGATCTGAAACTCCTGGAGTGCCATTTTAAGTTTAGGAATGATATAACGCACTATCAAGTCTTCCCAACTTGCTGGATCAAATACACCCTTCCATGGAGATAGCAAAGCGTAAGCTGATGCATCGTGAGCTTGCCAAACATGGAGGACACTACTCAGCTTGTACCGAATGGAGTGACACAAGGTCTCTATCCTTCGTCCTAGAGTCGGCAACCATGGATGTACCCATGCATGAATGGGTACCTTCTCCCTTCGTGGATCCCAGGATTCAACAGCGGCTGTGAGCTTTGGCATGATTACATGCTCTAATATTGAATGGAGTACAATAGGGGGCAGCAACTGCTCCCATGACTCGAGAAAGCAGAGCATTGGTTCTGGATCCCTAGCCTCCCATGAATTAGTTCCTGATATCCTCACAGCTGGCAGGATCACCTCGCTAACCAGCTGTACATATGGAGCCATTGATTCAGTAGCATCTGAGAAATCATATGGCTGGTCACACTGCAGCAAATCCTTCAATGATGACATGACTTCCAAGCCAAACAGCGGATTCTGCAGAGGCTGCCACCCCTGGAAGACCTGGATCAGTAACGGATGAGCAAATCGGCAAGCGATCCATGCAACGCTGCACATTTTGAACTCCTCCTCATGGCGCAGCTTCAATTCCTGGAAGGTCTTGAGCAACCCTCGCAGCATGAGCAAACCAGCTGTATCGTCCACCCAGACTTGCTCCAGCACACCTGCAATCGTCTCCATAACCTGCAGCTGGTGTTTCTGCAACGCCTCCTGCTTTGCTACTTTCTCCTTCTCCCCCACCAAACTAGCCACCCTCTCCTGCTCCTGTCGCAGCTGCCCATCCAACCTGATGATATCAGCCTTAGTCTCGTCAACAAGCACCCGCACATTGTACTGCAACTCTGGCATTGGCACATCATTCACCTCCATCTCCTGTTCATCACTGAGCCCCTTCAAGTCTGTCAGCACACGAACCTGAGGCCCTCGCATGTCAATCACCTTCTGGACAACCGTGGGCTGCTCATCCTGTTCCTGCTCGGCGTGCATAGCCAGCAACTCATTCTTGGTCAGGACCTGATCTCTCATCAAGCTGGCCTTCTTGGACCACCGTTGCTTTTCCTTCTTGGCACACGGCGGAGGAGGTGGGGGTGGCAGGTTCTCCTTGGCAGTGAAGGGCTTGGCCTCCTTAAACTCCTCGACACTGCCAAGTCCGGCATTTTTGCGGCGCGGGATGGTCTCCAGCGGTGCGGTGATTCCCTGAGCATTCTTGCCGAGGCCCATTCCTCTCTTGTGCCCCATCATAGCCATCATCTTAGCCACCTTCGTGTTGGACTCCACGCTGCCAGGGGCCGGCGCTGGTTTTCCATCATCCGCCCCGGCCGCCGACGACGCCTGGCGGCGGCGTTTGGCCGCCTCGTGCTGCCGCTCCTTCTCCTCCCGCCTGGCACGCGCACCCTCCGCGATCCGCTGCCCGAACCCCGTGGGCAGGTCCTGGTTGTCCTCCGCGTCCTCCTCCGCGGCGGCGGCGGTGCGCAAGGAGAACGCGGCCTGGCCAAGCCCAGGCCTCTGCTCCTCCCGCTCCACCCCCTCGGGCATTCCCTTGGAGACGAACTGCACGGGCCTGGTGAAGTCAGACTCGAGCTCGTCCCTTCTGCGCTTGCGGGGTCGCGACCCCTCGTCCTCCTCGGAGTCGTAATCGTAGTCGGAGTCCCCCTCGGCGAAGACGCCGTAGAGGGCATCGTCGCGGGTCTGGAGCGCGCGCTGGCGGCGGCCCTCGTAGAAGAAGTCCCCGTCGCGGCCGGAGCGGCCGCCCAGGAAGTCGCCGTCCATGTCGAAGCGGTCCATGCCCTCCGCGTCCTCCTCCATGGCCCCGCCGCTCTACGCCTCCTCGATCCCCAAATCAAAACGTAGGGTTTCAGGGCAGACCTCAGGCTTTCAGCCAACCAATCGAAACAAACAAGGCGAGGCAAACGAAAGTGGGAAGGGATGGCGGTGCCTACTACCTCGCCGCCGGTGACGCCAAACGGTGGCTTGATTCCGGCTAGACGGAGCGGGGACCAGGCGATGTCGATGCGGCCGCCCGTGGGACGGAGCTCGGGGCAGCGAACTTCGGGCGGCCGAAGACCCCGGGATGACGTGCGAGAGGAGGGGAGCAAGCGGCGCGCGGGGCAGAGACGGCGCGTGTCGCGTCCGGCGGAGGCGCACCACGGGGCGACGGCGTAAGGTCGGTTATGAGTTACCAGTGGCTTCTAGCCCGTTGGGCTTTAGATTAGTCTTTCTTTAGTTAAAGACTTGAGTATTACCGACCTTCAGCAGCAGTCGGATTGGGCGGGTCCAGCGCGGACACAGGCCTTCAGCATTTTTTAATTCTCCCGTTTTTTTTTCACATTTTTACATCCGTTTTTTTTGTTTTATTTTAAAATATTCTGAATATATCTAGCGTAGAAATAATTATACATATGCAAAAGTTGTAAAACGTTAGTCATCTATTTAAAAAATGTTCAATATGTATAAAAAATGTTTTCATGTATACAAAGAACTTACAATGTGCATGGAAAAAGCATAAATGAAAAAAAAACAAGTTTTCAAAAAAATATTCTGAAAAAGGTTAATCATGCATTTAGAAAATGCTAAAATGTGTATAGAAAAAATGTTTTTGATATATACAAAAAATGTATGATGTGTATGAAAAAAAGTAGACATCAAACAATATAAGCTTACAAAAATGTTATTCATGTACTTTTTTTACTAGAGTTAATCATGTACTTGGACAACACTAAACATGTATATAGAATATATTCCTGGTGTATTAAAAAATATACAAATAATACGGAAAAAATAGACAAAAATATATATGTTTTGAAAAATGGTAATCATGTATTTGAAAAATATTAAGCATTTATATATAAAATGTTCCTAACGTATGCAAAAAATGTACAATGTATATGAAAAGGTAGACATAAAAAATATATGTATTTTAAAAAAATCAATCATGCCTTTCATAATGTTAAACGAGTATATCAAAAATGTTCTTGGTGTATACAAAAATGTACAACGTGTATCAAAAAGTTGACATCAACAATTATAAGTTGTCAAAAAAGTTAATCACGTATTTGAAAAATGTTAAACATGTATATAGAAAATATTCCACATGTATACAAAAAGTGTACAAAGAAAGCAAACAAAACCAATAAACAGGGGAAACGTAAAGAAACAAAGAAAAGTAAAAAAGCAGTAAAAAAACAAAAATAGACAAAAAAATAAAAAATAAACAAAGTGAAGAAAGGAAAACGAGTAAAAACCGTGAAGGAAACAAAGAAAAACAAAGAAAACCCGTGAAGAAAAAATGAAAGTAAAAAAATAAAAGAAAACAAAAAAGGAAAAAAAGGAAAAATGGACAAAACCAGTATGTAGAACGAGCAAGCGAGCTACTGAGCTAGAGAGTGAGTTACCTGAGTAATGGGCCGGCCCTATATGCGCGCCTTCAAGTGAGACAATCGCTATACTAGCTATATAGCATTCGCGGTCTCGCACGCACGCAGTTTGCTCAAAGAGAAAACACACTCTTCATCTTGAAAAGAAAAAAAAATCTCGCGGTCTCCCTATCTATCCCTCCTAGCACTGACGATCCGTGGCGGTCGAGATGGCCGAAAGAATATCTAGTGCTCCCAATCTTCATATGCTCCCATGCTCCAATGTTTTAAAATAATCAAATTTAGATGTATCAAAAAATGAGAATGTTCTTATGACATATATTTGTTATCCCTGAAAAGTTCAAATCTAAAATGAAAATACACACTGGGAAACAAAAATGACAAAGTTAGATGTGAATTGTGTTGTTTTTGCGTTGTATTTTTGCTTTTGTATTTTTGTGACACAATTCATGTTGGATTTGTCATTTTTATTTCTCTGTGCGCATTTCGGATTTAGATTTCAACTTCTTAGGGAATGTAGACATATGTCTTGTGAACGTCCACAACTGTTGGGGATTTTTTGAACATACAATTTGAGTTTTTTAACATTGGAGCATGGGAGTACATAAGTGTTTGGAGCACATGATACTTTCCCACGGATGGATGGGGAGGCGACGTGGATGAAGAGAGAATGTCAGACAGAGGCGAAAGAGGCAAGGAGGAAGTAAACATCCGGGATGGAGCGGGAGCGGTGTCCCAGCTAGAGGGGCTCTCACCATGTCGACTTCTGGCTAGATGGGCGAGGCCGATGATACGTCTTAAATGGATCTATCATTTTTAATTGTTCTATGCTATCACTTATATATATATTTTATAGCATTTTATATTATTTTTTGACCAATCTATTAATTTAGTCCCCACTATCAGTTCATATTTTCTACATGTTTTAGTTTCGCACGAAATCAATATCTACGAAGGTCAAAAATAAGATGTTAATTTTTAATGATTTTTTTGGACAACAAAGGACCCTAGAAACTTCGGGGAGGACCAGATGAGCCACAGGGGGAAACATGGGCAGTTGGCGCGCCCAGGTCCTAGGGCGTTCCACCAGGGCGTGTGGGGCCCGCCTTACCTCCGTCCCGTCGCCATAAATCTCTATTAATAGCAAAAGCTTCCGCGTATTTTTAAAAGAATTTTACCACCGTCACAAGCTCCTGCTTCGCGAAGATCCAATATAGAGGCATGTTCCAGAGCTCTGCCAAAGGGGGAATCCATTGCCGAAGGCTTTTTCATCAATCTTAGAATCCATCAGAACCTTAGATTCCATAATAGTAGCAAGACGACTCTCTCTCTGTCTCTTGGATCGTCAATACCATTCACATGATCGGTATCAATTCGATGTAATTCATCAGCGTGTTTGTTGGAAATGATGATTTGTCACTTTATGATCAGATTATTCATTGAAATCAATTGTATATTTTAAGATTTTCTTGTTATATAATTAAATAGCTTTGCATGCTTTCCGATCTATCTATCTTCTCTGACCAAGTTTGATGGGTTTTTATTTAGAGGGAGTGATGCTTTGTAGTGGGTTCAATCTTGTGGTGATTTAACCCAATGAAAATAAGGAAAAAGACACGTATTGTATTAGTGTCACTAAGGATAAAATGATGGGGTCTGGTCACATTGATTGATGCTTTCTTATCTGCATTATGTTATCTTGCTTATTGGGATACTCTATTTTTTGCAACTTAGTACCTTGAGATGTATGCTGGATAGCGGTTTTGGAGTGCAGTATTAGTAGTAAATGCAGTTGGATTAACGAGCTACTTATCATGGCCGTAATTTCTATATGGATTATACCATGAATGATCATAGTCATAAATTAGAGAATTCCTTATTTGACACTGAAAAATATTTTCTTCCTCATATAACACCGAGTCTAAATTTTATGCCCTTTATATCACTTTTGTCTATTTTAAGCCTTAAAGGTGTTAATTGACACATAAAAGGACCTTTTTACCCCTGATGTGGTATGTGATAAAAAAAATCATAGATGCTAGTATGTGCTAATAATGCCCGGCCGGCTTGGTTTGTTGTATGCGGCTAAGTATAGCGGACTAGCTGCATGTGTGTTGTCCAGCTGGTTCGGTTCCTAGCTGCGTGAGCCAACTTGCTGCGTGGGCGCGTTCTGTGCAGCGGGGAGTGTGAGCGGCCGCCGTCCATCCCGAACTCATGTGTACTTCGTTGGTTAATCAGCTAGAGATTACTTCATGCGTGTGCCTGGCATGGCATCGGCCAGCATCAATAAGCACGGACTAGATACTACTGTACACAATAGCTAACTTAAGCACTCGATTGATTTTCTTTGGAAGTTGGCTCACGCAGCTAGGAACCGAACCAGCTGGACAGCACACATGCAGCTAATTCGCTATACTTAGCCGCATACAACAAACCAAGCCGACCGGACATTATTAGCACGTACTAGCATCTATGATTTTTTTATCACATGCCACATCAAGGGTAAAAAGGTCTTTTCATGTGTCAATTAACACCTTTAAGGCTTAAAATGGACGAAAGTGTTATAAAGGGCATAAAATTTAGATTCAATGTTACATAAGGAAGAAAATATTTTTCAGTGTCAAATAGAGAAACAAAATTTAACACAGTGCTAAATAAGAAATTCTCTCTAAATATAAATATTGCAATTTAATCGCTCCTCAACTGTAATTTGTTTACCACGTCATTTGCTTGCTTTGAGATAGATGCCATGTAACACGCCAAATGTTAAGCTACAGTGGTCCCTTGCTAATGATGCTATGTCATCATGTTTTACTAAGCCAAATTGCCACTTGATAAAAATCAAAGTCAAATTCAAATTTAAATTGCAAGAAAATTTATTATTTCTTCAAACAATGAAACAAAAATGTGTACAACATGTCATAAAATCCCAAAGTATTGGTAAAAATAATATCAACTCCATTTGGATGCCCAAATTGTCCCTAACGATTATTTTGGTGGACCAGCATCATTAAATTGAGCCAACTAGATTTAAAGGACTATTTATACATTTCAAAACAAATTGATAATTTGTATACTACCTCAAATTATAGCCTATTATTTATGTACCAACTTTCATAGTCAAAAAAATTCATTTGCTATTTATATAAAATGCAAAACACAAATAAATAAAAGAAACAGAAAAAGGAAAAAACATACCTACTGTGCAACTGGGCCGCAAGTGCACAGTGCACGGTCCAACCCACCATCCCCATCTTCTTCTTCCTCTGTTCATCAGAGGTTGGTTGGATGCGCCTGCGGCGTCCAAGCCGTCGACGGCCATGCATCGACCATCCGATGTCGCCCCGCGTGTGGATAAGGACGCCCTCGACCCCATCGACGAACCCTAATCCCCTCATTCTTCCCCTTTGCACCCATCTCTCGGTTACAAGC